GTATCTGTGATATAAATTTAGTTTAACTATTTACACAATAATGTCATTAAGAAGTTTTAATAGTTTTCATTAAAAGTTCTTTCAAATTCTTTTTAGATGACACCTAGGATTTTCACCTAGGGTCTCCTCTATTAATATATAGAGGATTTTGAAATTTTTTTTAAAATGCCACTAATCTTCTATACGTTAATTGAATAGACAATTGGTGAAAAAATGATATGTATTATTAAATGAGACTTTGAAGGAATATGTCATTTAAATTAACTAATGAAAACATTTTAATTAAAACTATATGCCATGGTGGAAATCTATATATGTTTTTATTAATTTTATAACATAAACCCATTAATATATATATATTTTACAGAATTAAGTTTAACTAAATGTAATATTTATATTTACTATATCATCTATTTTTTTTAAAATTGATATATTAAAAAGCTTTTTATTATTATATTTCTAATAATATTATTTATTTGTAGATGATAACTACACTTATAAATATTTTTACATTTTATTATTAGAAAACATATATTTGTTTGTTTGACAAATTTATATAAATCTAAAATTTATTTGATTTATCGTATACTCTACATTTTTACACAAATAATAACTCAATTTGACACGTCAAATAAATTGAAATAAATAACATTTGCATTAGTTTTAATATTTTTATGCAAAAATGATCAAAGCATATGACATTAAAATATGTTTTGTAAAAATTTAATTTTATTACATTATGCAAAATACATATCATTTTGTACGTTTAGAAATATTAGATTACACGTCTAAATATTAAGATCGAGTAGAAAATATATTTAAATATTTAATCTCACGCTTGCCATGAGTCAAAATCTAGTTAATTGAATATTGGCAAAGACAAACCAATTTTATAGGTATGGAGTAATATTTCAAAAGAGTTTGGAGTGTTTTGTGCTCGATTTCCTAGTTTCTCTCTTGCTCTCATCATTATGCATCAATATTTCGAAACAAACTGACCTAACTCGGTGAACAATTTCAGGCTTTAACATTTCTAGTTTATTTGTTTCTGAGGCAGCTTTACTTGGATACTGATGAAGACTTCTCATCTTTTGTTGTCCAAGTCAAGATTAGACAATAATGAAAATAGGCAGAAACAAAATATTGTTCTATTGAATAAATGATCAATTGGTTTGCAAACTTATACTAAGTGATTATAAAGCCTCCCACAACGCATTCCCATGCTGAAATACATAATACGAGCTTCTCATTGCTGCTCCTGCCGGGCATAAAAACCTTACCCTGCGTTTTAATTCTATCGCCAGATTTTGCTAAGCAAATATAGAATAGAGCTGAGTAGAAGAGCTGTGTATTCTTCCAAAGATTTCAGAATTCTTGATGTTGAGATCCTCGGGGACAATATCGGTGAGTCCGAAAGGCGATTCTAGCACCAGAGTGATGAAGAAAATTATGAGACTCTTTGGCATTTCAAAAGATTTTGCTCGTGGACTATAAGATCAAGCAAACAATCTGGCTATGGCTAAGAGATCACATCATCTTTCTTTGCTTCTTTGTTCTACCTGTTAAGCTTCACTATCCACAGAAACCACTTGTTTATTCTCTCTTTTCTTTTTCACCTGTGAAATCAGAAGGACCAAAGAATCTGTAAAGAAACTTCATAACCAAAGAATGCTCAAAACTTGGAGTAGAGTCATACCAACTTGTTAGGGAAACTTTGTGCATCAATGAACTTTGAATGTGCAGAATAGTGAGACTTCTTTCGTAGAATCTGAGAGAGACGCCGCTCGTTCTTCTCTTGCCTAAGTAAATATCTCAATGAAACTGATTCTTGTTCAAGCTTCGACACCGTGATTTCCAGTATCGCTAAGCTGTCCAAAAGCTCTTGTGCCTGCAAAATTTTTAATGTTTAAGCGAAAGCCACGAAAGAACATTAATGTTGGAGGAAAGGATTGACTTTATCGTGAAGTTGGCAAGGTGAATCCATGAACGGTGAACTAGAATGCTCAACTGCACTTGTTAAAGCTAGCCGTAAATTAATCTCTGTTTTAGACTACCAGTCAGAACACGCAACTTAAAGATTTATCATTAAACTACGATAAACGTAACTTAAATACATAAATTATTGCTAATAATGTCATGAAACTAACTTAAAGACTAGTCTGGATCCACCGAAGGTGGGGGCCAGGATATACACGTTAATAAAAAAAAATCTTTAACAAAAAGTTTTTTTCTCAAACACAGCAACTTATATTTTGTGAGCTAATAATGTC